CATGCATTGTCACTTTCTTAGCTGTTTACTTAAAAAAAAAAGTTTTTTCATTTTTGCCTTTTCCTTGTTTAAATTGTAGTAGCAACAGACTACATTAAACAAAGATAGCAAGTTAAACTACTTTCTCTTTTGCATTCCAAGCAAATTTTGAGGTTTAAACCTTGTTTAATTTCCTGGAAAACTAAGTTTAAGAGAAGTGAGCACTTTTGAAATCTTAAATCTCGATATTATTAAGTCAAACTTAAATTATTTTCAGGAGGCAATTAAATAAGAGATACACCAAAAATTATCAAGATATTGTTAATAAATTCTATTCCAGATAAGTAGTATAATGGTAAGCATAAATGCCATCAAAGTGGTTAGTATGAGATTCTTTTCCATGAAAGGTTAGTTTGAAATTCAAATATTAAAAAAAAACCAAAAAGATAAGATAAATTTAGGTTCTATTGGTTATAACAAAAGGGCTCAACCAACATAACAAGATGCTGCTAAGTTTGAAAGAAATTAAACATGGTATCAATTGTCTGTTGAACAGCAAATTATTCAATCATCATTAAAAGTTTTGTAATATTCATGTAAAAATCATTCAATACTATTAGAATTTTTATTTATTAATTAATATTTAATAATAGAAATTCATTTTAATGAAAATTATTAGATGCAATTTAAATTCTCATATATTTATAAATAAGATTAGAATGAAAATATCTAAAACTAAAGGGAAAATATAACGTGTAAATAACAACATTATCCTTGGAAAAGTGAATCTTTATTATCCTCTGGTAATAATGGAGGGAAGCTAGGACATGATTTAGCTGGAAAATATATTGTTTAAGAAGTAAAAGGAAGGGGAAGTCAAGAATAAACTTCAAAGCCGTGTGGGGAATTTATAACTGTAAAACAAAAAGTCAGCGCTGAGAAAACTAAAATAATATTTGAGATCGCATTCTCACTTCTTCAACTGCCATGTTGTTTGGGTGTGTGCTGTGCTTTTGGCTAAGTAAACCATAATTAAAAAAAAAGGGAAAATCATAATAATAATTATAAAAATTAGGGGCGATTGCTTTGATCATGGCTACTTCGTTTTAGTATTTTATGGCAAATGCAGAAAGCTTTTTGATTTGAGGTTTGTTGATCTAATGATGGAACATGGCTTTCTTGTAACTTCAACTTCAAGCCGAGGAAAGCTTCCTCTCCTTTTCCTTTTCTTTAAAAAAAAAAAATAATAATAATATTTTCTCTTTGACAGGAAGGTTTCAGTTGATTTCAGTTTGTTGGTCGTAGCTCTAGAGGTCCTATCCACTGAAAATGGGTTTTCCCAAGGAACCTAAAACAATGGGCTACTACTCCGAATCGGGTTATACCCGAACCTTTTTAACCCACTGGGTCCATATATTCAAGAGTCGAGGCCCTTCTCTTTCCCTCCCTATCACTCTTCCTGCCCGTGTGTCTCGGAGCCACGCGCCTTAACTCTTCACTCGCGTGGTGGTACGCGCTCTTCCCTTCCCTTCCCTTCCTTGTACCTCTGTTTTACTTTTGTTTGATTTTACATTCTTCTTTTTCCATCTTCTATTCTTCTTCGGCTTTTTGCCATTATAAATTTTGTTACAAATTTGTGTGCTATACCCTGTTTGTTTCCTGAGAAAATGATGTAGATAGTTCAACTAAAGTTGGAGTAATGGAATTGGGTTCTTAATTTTGTTCATGAAACACAACCAACGGCAAAAAAAAAAAAGGTTTTCTTTTTTCTTTCTTCTCCTCCCTCCCCTTTTCACCATTTTCTAAATCATTTGAAACTAAGTTCAAGTTATGATTCTTTGATTGGTAGTTGCAGTGGCAATGACTAAGCAAATATTAAGAATCAGGTAAGTTTCTGTTAACTTGGTCTACTTTTAGGCTTATTTTCTTTTCATTATATATATATTGGTTATAGGGCAGTTTGTTTTCCAAGAAAATGACATAGAATGATGGGTTTAACAAAAGCAGAGTCGGGTTTTTCATTATTTTTACTAGACATCAATTATACCAAAAAAAAAAACTGTTTTCCTTTTTCCTATTTCCCCTCTATTTTTAGGATCCAAGCGCTAGGTCTTGTTGTAACTGTGTTCAGTTTTGTTGTTGTTTTAGGTTTGTCATAAATGGAGTACCATAGCAACATGATTCATGTAGCTGACCTCATATAGTGGGACTTGCTTAAGAATAAGAAAGAGGAAGCTCATGTAAATATCATGGAATAAGGCTTGTTCCTATTCATGGGAATTTCTTCAATATTCCATTCATAAAGTAGAAAGCTCTGAGCAATTGCAATTTTTTTTCTTGATGCAGACATGCAGTTATATTTCATCTTCTAGCTCGGATGGTTGTCGTTATTGTTTTTGTTCCTTGTTATATAAGGTCATTTTCCTTTATTCCCCCTTGTTTTTAGCTTGGTAGTTCTGATGGCCATTAGTACTTTTTGAATGCATAGAACTTGCTGTGACTTTTGTGCATATTGATTATTATTTGTGCTGAACTGCCTTCTGTTCTGACGATAATAACAGTGTAACTAGTTTATATTTTATATTTGGAAACCTGGGTGATTGGAGGTTTGCTGCTGGCTCATGATTTCGAAGTATATTTGTTTGGGCTAGACAAAGTAAAATTTGTTGTTGTGATGATTCCGATTTTGATGATGGATGTATGCTTATTGTCAAACATTTTTTATTTTGTAGAACTTTTGTATAGGTCAGGAAAGTTTTATTGGATTTAGCATACATTAGATGGTTTTTCTTTGTCGATCAAATTACTTAAATGCAGAGGTGCACATTACGTTAAACACTTAAAGGTTAAAAATGCATGCTGTGAACTTCTTGTTGTTGAGCACAATGGTTCATCTATTAGATTAGATCCTATTTACAAATAAGTCTGGCTTCCATAAGTTTTGCATGATTGACCTACAGGTCAAAAAGGTTCTCATAAGTACTTATAATAGCAGTAAAACTCTCCAGAAATGGTTTCAGCACTGTAAAGTTAAGTGTTTAGCATGATGATGGTAAAACTACTCTCAATGAGTTCAGGGTTGCAATTGTACAAGTATATTTCTTTAAAATTTAAACCTGTTTTTCTTTTCTAAGAAGTATGGGTAGGGGCAATGCTTGTCATTGGTTGTATGCTAGTAGTAACTTGTCCAGTGTTGCTCTATATCAATTGAAAGATTTGGGACATGTGCTAGTGTTGTCAATTACTGGTATCTGAATTGTTCCATATGAATGCTCCTACTTTCATAGCACAGTTATATTCTAGTCTACTTATGAAACATAGATACTGCTATTTTATCTTGCAATGGTTAAATTCTAATTCTCTCTTGCACTCTCTCATAGATTAATTTGTGCTGGATAAACCACTGAGAAGAATGTGTGGTGGTAAACAGGCTCAGGATGACCTGTTGGGAAGCAAGGCTTTGGACCAAAACTCTGAAGCCTTCACAAGGAGGATAGATGCTCTTCTAGTTGAGATTGAAGAGTGCATGCATGAGCTGGAAGAAGCACTTGATGGTCTTGAAGAAGTTATTGCACTAATTAACAAGATTAACTGTTTCTTTGGTGCGATTCTGGTAATTTTATGTCTGTTTCAATTGCTTAAATCTGTGGGGTTACTCTGAGCATACCCAACTATAGGGTTTGTGGTCTGCTTATGAATGTCACCTAGCTTGTTCTTATGTTTACAGGTATAGTTTACTGACCATTTGTGGTCTTCTTTTGCCTATGTTTGTAAATATAGCTGACTGACCATTTCTGGTTTTATTTTACCTATGAGGGTATGAATAATGTATAGTGTTTTTCTTTTTTGGCTTCTTTTGTGGCTTCCATATCTTCACTTCGTTTCCATTTTTTCTTTTTCTTTTTTTAAATGAGGTGCTGCTTCTTGTCATTTATTTTCTCAACTTATGGATTCAAGTAGAGGCAAATGGTTTCGGAAGGTAGAAGAGATTGGAAATTGTAAGCAGACCTCCTTATGTGCAAATTGCAACCTGCTTACTGAGGAAACACCATAGATTGTTTATCCTATCAGGAATTGCCCCTAAAATCACAAATGCCGTGTGCTTTCACAGTGGCTCAAGCCGTTCTCCACTGTCATAGGTAAAAATATATGAATGCTCTCCCTCTCCCTCTTATTATCATTTGTGCCTGGTTTTGGTTAATAATTAGTAAAACTATTACTAATTGGAAAGGGATTTATTGTTCATTTAACTTGGAAGCTTACAACTTGGTGTAGGACTAAGGCAAACACTTTTGCCACCAATTCCAGACTAATCACACAAAGACAAATAATAATTATAATAATAATAATAATGGAATTGAAATATTGCACGAAATATTCTATTAACATAAATGGTAAATTTTCATTAATTTCATTCTTTTATCTGAAAATAAAAAAAAATATAAAGTACAATAGCAAAATTCAATAAAATTAAAATACAATGCCAACAATATAAGATTACTTTCTTTATAATTGATATTTGTGAAAGAGATCAACAAGAAGGTGCATGTAAATTCTTAGCAGTTGGCTTTGTGCTCTTGAGGGGTGTTGTATCTTGGATTTGCTACTGTGTTTAAACGTGTTAATTGCAAAATCGCTATCATTGTTACATATTTCTATTTTTGTTTACAAGCCAGTGACCATGTTTTACAGCATGATCTCTCTGATGATTGGTTGCCGCTTAGTTCATGGCAGATTTACTTGAAAGTTGGCCTAATATAGCAACCCTCGTCTCTGCCATGGTATGAAATGAGATATAACTACAGTTTAAACATTTCTTTTCGGCAAGTGATTTCAGCCTAACGCTTACCTTCTCCTTTTTTTCTGTTGGGTTCAGCCTCTGATACGTCTTCTTAAGAAAATCTAATCCAGTGTCCGCCTAGAAAAGCTCCTTCTTGTCTGTTGTTTCACCTCAAGGCAGTTAAATACAGATGACCGCAATGAAAAAGAAACAGCCGAGGATCAACAAAGAATTGCTAGAGTTTCCGAGGGGATCCAACAAATTGCCAAGTTGAGTTTTCTTAGGTCCTATATACTTTTCTATTTTGATAAGTTCCTCAGTCTTTCTATTATGTTGGTAACGACTCTTGTTCCATCATATATTCTGGTTTGGAAGGCATAACAGTTGTTTAATGTGCTCTTAAAATATCTGGAACAACAAATTCTGCTCCATGCCACCAGCAACTGCTTAGTTGAACACTAATTTTTGCAACCGCCAATGTGCAAAACTTGCTCTTAACCGTAGTTACAGACTTACTGGGGTTTCTAAGGTCTCTTTCATGTAATGGCTCTTTTTTAGTTTCTTTTCAGCTATATGTATCAAGAAGTAACTTTTACGTCCATTTTTTTTCTCTCTCTTGAGCTGAGAAAAGTCATTGATCAGAAGGAAATGAAAGTTCAGCTAGATATACAGCAGGATATATCAAATTAAGAATTATATATAAATCCATTTAATTAGGAAATTTATATAAGTTTTAGCAAGCATCTGACATAGCATCAAGC